TGTGTGTGTGTGTGTGTGTGTGTGTGTGTGTGTGTGCGTCCTGTGATGGGCTATCATTCATTCCAGGGTGTATCCCCATTAATTATGTGTGTTTCCAAGACTTCTAACTAATCAGAACATATTATTATTATTATTTAAATGTATTAATAATACTAGTAATAATAATCATAATGTTTGTTGTTAATGTTTCATGTTGAACAAGATGGGATATAGGAAAACTAACACTTATCACTGTACTGTACTATAATGACTGTATACTATACTACAATGACTATACTATATTAGAATTGTTTACTTTAGGTTGATCCTTCATCAGTCATTTATCTGCCATGGCTCCATGTGTGTGCAGTTTACATGTTCTGCCTGTGTCAGTGTGGGGGTCCCCCCCACCACCACCGTCCAATAACATGCTGAGCTCAATTGGAGTTATCAAATTGCCCGTAGGTGTGAATGGTGTGTGAGTGTGAGTGTGAGTGTGCCCTGTGATGGGTTCGTACCCATCATGGGTTGTTCCCTGTCTTGCACCCATAGGCTCCAGATTCCCCCCATGACCTTAAATAGGTTAAGCAGTAACAGAAAATGGACGGATGGAAATCGCTTGCAGGTGAATAAGTAAATTACCCAGCTTCATTTACCCATTTGAAGTGCTACTTGACGAATAGTGATACTGTTCATTATGGAGCTTAATTGAATTTTTTTTCACATAATCTTTCAGTGTAAGTTCTCAGCTGAGCAGATTGCATGATTCATTGAATTAAGATCTCACTTTGGAACCGAATCGTTAAGAACTGGAGAAAAAAAACATTAAACGCAGTAACAGCTCCAGGGCTTTCCAAAGGGATTTCAAAGGAACTGCAGCACCAGTGCCCACACTCCAGGGGGCGCTAGAGGTCATTGGTTGACTGGCTTCCTTCCTTTCCAGCGCTGATGCACGCCGTGGTCTTCGGCAACGTGACGGCCATCATCCAGCGCATGTACTCACGCCGCTCGCTGTACCACACGCGCATGAAGGACCTGAAGGACTTCATCCGCGTCCACAGGCTGCCCCAGCAGCTCAAACAGCGCATGCTGGAGTACTTCCAGACCACCTGGTCTGTCAGCAACGGCATCGATGCCAACGAGGTATCAGGTGATATGGGATCGGCTAGTTAGGACAGACACACTGATTAATTAAAGCCACACTATCAACTCTTCCAAGATCAGTTCCTTGGGTCACTAGTCCATTGTTCTGCTATGATTTATACAGCATGTACACTGTTGGCAGTACTTCATATTTTTATTTTTGACTCAATTATAATAGGATCATTGGTTTCAGTAGAATAGGCCAGTGTGCTGTGAATAATGAATAAAGTCATTAAATCGTGTATTTTTTATTTACTGTATAAGACCATGCAGATGGATGATGATTCTAATCTACCTTTAGCATGACTGCAGTAACTTGGGATGATGCTGAATTCTGTGTCTAAATTGAAATTTCATTAGAACCATTTCTGCCACAAGCTGTTGATTGGGGAAGGGAAGGATAGGAAAGACCAGCCTAACGATGCCAATTTACACCCCAATCATCAGCCCATTAATTTATTTATAGATGGCAGGTTATTTATGGTTCTACCTCACAGTTCAAAACTCACAGCCGCCTGTTGGTAACTGTCATCAGTTCCACTTTGTAACATACTCTCCTGTCCTGTGCTCCTGGTTTCAAGGAATATTATTCAGTTGCAGTGTAAAAAAAACTAAAACGATGATTTAGGCGATTCCATTCCTGAAAACACTATAATAAAGCATGGTGTTCAACTTAGAAGTCTGGCTATATTTGAGTTATTAGAGAGCCAAGTGGTATTGTAGTAATTACAATAGTTTAATTACATTGAATTAACTTACTTAAAGCCCTTCACACAAATTGCTTAAGATAACTATCAGCTGTATATTTGCATCCGATGATATGATACAAGGTTGTCAGCCTTCATGCAATTGGTGTGACATGCTGTCAGACTCTCACGCTCACACAAGACATCTTACGACAAGTCTATATTATTCCATTATGAACCAAAAATTAGCTACATCAGAAGTGTCGGGGTCGTTGCAAACCCTACAAACTATTTACAAGATAATAATACTGTTCCGTACATGTAAATGCATGTGCATGTGTGCGCAGACTTGTACTGAAAATCCCGAACTCCGGACAGCTGACCAAAGTCGGCAATCCTGATGATAAGCAAAGAAAGAATATTATAAACCCAGCTAATGGTGGGGTTGGTGTTGTCATGGCTACACAATTAAAAATAGCACCAGTGGGGCTTCCCCCGCTGTCACCTGCATGACATCACGATTGCAGGGATACTCCCGGATTACAGACCCAATGATTTTCAGCGTAGGGCTGGTTCCCCCGATGGCTCCCAATCCCTTATCGCAAAGCTTCTCTTGGGCCGTAGCTCCTGCATGACTTTCCGGACGAGCTGCGCGCCGACATCGCCATGAACCTGAACAAGGACATCCTGCAGCTGCCCATCTTCGAGTGTGCCAGTAGGGGCTGCCTGCGCTCGCTCTCGCTGCACATCAAGACGTCTTTCTGCGCCCCTGGCGAGTATCTTATCCGTCAGGGGGATGCGCTTCAGGCCAACTATTTCGTCTGCTCCGGATCCCTGGAGGTGCTCAAGGATGGGATGGTGCTTGCCATTCTCGGTTCGTCTCCACTGCCTGTCCTCCATGGCTAAAACACACTAATAGTGCTCTTGTTTTTGATAGAATCTGTATGGACATTCTGGGTGGTCATATGATGCAGTTGTTAGTACTGTAAACTCATTCAAACTCGTGGTTTGGTGGTTTAAGTCTCCCAGCCCAGTCCTCGGGAGCCCTCACATTTTTGCTCCCTCACAGCTCCCAGCCCAGTCCTCGGGAGCCCTCACATTTTTGCTCCCTCACAGCTCCCAGCCCAGTCCTCGGGAGCCCTCACATTTTTGCTCCCTCACAGCTCCCAGCCATTCAAGAATGCTGAATACCTGGTACAGGTGTGTTGGGAGCTGGAAGAGAACAAAAATATGGACTGTCTGGAAACCCCTGAGGCATGGGTTGGGAAACATTACTGTAGAGAATTACACCCCCATTCTCGTGTGGGTTTCCTTCCACGGGCCAAAGGTATATTCTTTAGCAAAACTTTGCACAACGTAAACCCAGATGAAATGTGCCGTACTGTAGTACAATGCAGAAACATTGTGTAAAATAATGCGATTACAGAGCATAATTCATACTAGGAAATAAATTCCAACACAAATACCTTTTCTATTTGTCATTTCCTGGATTCATCACTTGCTTTTCTGACGTCAGAATTTTTCCGTTCATTCCTGCCACATCTGGCATGTGGCCACCTGTCATGCTTCCAGGAAAAGGGGACCTAATCGGCGCGGACCTTCCAGGTCATGAGCAGGTCATCAAGACTAATGCCGACGTGAAGGCCCTGACGTACTGCGACCTGCAGTACATCAGCCTGCGGGCGCTGAGGGAGGTGCTGCAGCTCTACCCCGAGTACGCCAGCCGCTTCACGGCCGACATCCACCACAACCTCACCTACAACCTGCGGGAGGGCAGTGAAGCGGAGGTGCGGGGGGGAACGGGCGGAACCGCACGCGCACAGATGCAGCTCCCCACACACGCACACGCAGAGATGCAGCTCCCCACACACGCACACGCAGAGATGCAGCTCCACGTACACGCACACGTGTGTCAGTGATAG